CGGAAAAAGCCAGAGCTCCTGTGATCGAAACATTCACGAATATAAAAAATTAAGAGTCAGAGGATATCATGCTGTAGAACAGGCATGTCCAACTTCAAACAGGTTGTGATCGACTTTTTAGTGTCAAAATTGCCAGTGATCTACAACCCCCTCCTATGGTCGTACCTCTCTTTAAGCAAAAATATTGTTAAGAATAACACGACATATATATAATGTTTGTTGTAAAAGCAACATACATTGAAAGTACAGACTACTTTAATACGTATTTTCCCTTCAAAATCTGAATATAATCATATTATATTACAAGTGAATTTACATGCTTTTCACGTATAATTTCATTATAGGCCTATGGGATCGACCAAAAATCGTCCCACGATCGTCGCGTTGGACATGCCTGCTATAGAGGATACCGACAGCTGTCAGACGGGAAGCGCTTGCATGTCCCTGACAAGCTTAATTTTGTTAAATCAACAGGTACACTAAACCTTGGTCTCCCACATAGCACATCATGCTCGAAACGGGTTTTTGATCCAGACCTTCAAACAACCAAATAAATAAAAACAAAGGAGGGAAGGAAGAGAAAGGCATGAATGTAGAAGGAAAGACAAAGACACAAGTAACGGGTGTCAGAAAACGATTTTTCAGCCACTATCGAAGTATCTAAGGCAGATGTTCTCATAGACCGCGATACTGTGACCCCCGTAAGCTTACACGACCACCATATGTACGGATCAGCGAAGTTCTGCACATTGTTTTACATCCACATCGGGCTGCGCGGTGACAGCAGGAGCCTATACATCGTCTTTACGCTTGTAGTAAGCTATCGATTGTTTCTGTACAATCAGAATGAAGCTGCAGCTACATTTTCCGAAAGCACCTGTATGAACTCTTTCTCACTTACCGACTTGGCAAAACTGTGCGTGGCTACAATTATATTGTAAATAATTCTTGAAAACTCTGCGACTCTCAGCAGGGGATTCTAATTTGAGAAACTATGACCTCTGCCATGTGAATGGTTTGATTATTAATGGTGGGGGAGGGTTTTAAAACAACGCAACTCCCCGATTCTTATCTCAATTTTGGCAATGAAAACTGACACACACGGGCAGTGGCATGATTCGAACCTGCTGCAGAGAGTTCTCGCTTATTTATTTAATTGTAGTTCTCTTATTATTATTATTATTATTATTATTATTATTGGAGGGGGTGGGTTTCCCCATGCACCGCGACTAATAGCCTATTGTACGTCCCCCTTTGATATTCTACCAGTCTCCATACCCTACCGGCACTGGTGCGTGCTATCAGCCCAGTTGAGCCAACGAGGTCGGCCCTCGGTACCTTGATGCTTCCCCCATCTACCAGAGGCAATGGAAACTACTTGGGCGGGAAACTTTCCTAATTTAGCTCAGAGGTCTCCTAGAGACATGAGGATCTTTTACATGCCGTAAATCTACGACACGGAACACACGGCTTGAAGTCCCTCCCGGAGGACTTGTTCCCTGAATTTTTCCGCCCTTAAATGTAGTTCTCTTAATAACGCTGTCAATAACTCATACAATATAGCCCCGAATAGTAGGAAAACTGTTGAATAATCAACTGGAAAGAATAAGAAAATAAGCGGGCCGTAGCGTAATTTAAGATTCTGTGACATGACACTTGAAAGGTGGAATGTTGGAGCCAGAAGAGAGGGCCGTGGGCTAGTCAACGGCTTGATAAACACGTTTCCGCGAAAACAAACACATGACGCAACAGTGGAGGAATTGTTGAAAAATGTTTTATATGCGGTCCATGCCGAAGTTATGTAGGGAGCTCTCAAGCTGAAAGTTAGCTGAGTTGCCGCCGTGAGCCATGGGCTAGTTGCGAGACAGTCACCAGCCGGTAAGAACGCGAGCACGGAAGCATAAGTGTATCTATTGCTAGGAACCGTTACCAGGCAACGACTTGTGAAGACATAAGACTGTGTGCTACAATACAGTGATTTGTAGAGTGCGTTGATCCGTAAAATTGCTCTAGTTACCTGTAGTTAGGCGTTATAAGTGTTCAATAAATCCAATTACCAATTCAGAACCCGTGTCTAGTCACTAGCACGTAACGATACCCGAGTTTTCCTGGAGGAGATGAGGAAAACCACGGAACTTTCAGAATATTCGGTGTCTCGGCTGAGTTTCGAAACGGACATCGTCCGCATATAAGTCAGAAAAGTTACCGCTTGAGTCAGCTTGCTGGGTATAGTCAGTTCAGCTAATCATGGAGGGCAGTAACAGAAAATTGAAATATCCGTTGATTTTTAATGTGTGTTTTCCGGAAAGCGTTGTGCATGACTAACTGAAAAGATGATGCTGTCTCTATCGGTTTCATCGCGTCACTTTACTTGATCTGCATGCACAAACAAGCGTAACCTTCACAATGTTCCGGAGAGTCCTTTTATGTGTACCAAGATTACAAACATATGAATTTTGACGTAGTGTCACCTAAATTGTGGAATATCAGGGTCCTTAAAATATAGGTCCTATAAATATTATTGCAGTCCATGATTTGTATAATGTAATCGTCATGCCCATAAATACTGTTATCAAAATCATACGACCTAACACAAAATAACATTACACCTCGAGGTTATCGGAAAGATTCAGCCATATTCTAATTGTCTTAATGCCTATAGTCGCTATGCGCTCGTAAAGAATTAACTTGACATATTTTGTTGAAATGTGCTATAGCTGCTTGGCTTTTATACGGTTACCATTGCAGCTGCATACATGACTTTAAATTATAATATTATTTCAATAGTTGATTCCGTGGCCCTTGAAATCAGTTATAGAAGTGAGTTAGATGTTAGAGCATATTTCTGTCCGACGTGGATTCATTGCAACAGGAAAATGCTTTAGAGAACACGGCAATTAGCCTTCGGCTTCCATAAAAGGCGACGAATTTCTTGGCAAATGAGCGACAGATAGCTTCACACTTAACGACTACGCTTCTTGGAGTTCTTAGCTCATGAACATTACAGCGTGGAAAGTGTATGAATAAATTTAAAAGGAACTGGAAGGAATCGGTTGTACCTTATTTTAAGGTCCAAGGATTCTCCTGGAAGACTAAGGTCGGACAGTCGTTTTTCAGCGGGAAATTTGAAACCCAAACCTCCAGAGTACTAAGCAGGGGTGCTAGGGCCGCGCCACAGCTCAAGCGGTTAGTCGCTGGCTTCCCACCGCGGCGGCCCGGGTTCGATCCCGGGGTCTGGTCTGGGATTTGTGGTGGACAAAGTGGCGCTGGGGTAGGTTTTCTCAGAGTACTTCGGTTTCCCCTGCCAATCTTCATTCCACCAATTGCTCCACAATCACCCTCACCTATCATCTGGGGCTGGTACCATAGGCCAGAAGTGGCCGCAGTACAAGGGACTTACTCCCACCCCACTAGCAATAAAAAAAAGCAGGGGTGCTAACCACGTACTCATAACATTAGGTATGATCATATTTACATGTCAAAGCTGTAAGTACTGCTTCTAACTTTATGGTTTGAATGTAGTTTTGTTTCGCAGGTATATTGCTGTACTGACAGAATATCTTTCCTCAGTTCACAGGTTTGGAGTTTCACATTTGCCATGAACTGTCCAACCTATTCTCTTTCTCCATTGATCCCTGTGGAGAACACCAAGTCCTTTGCATTCGTTGTATCCTTTTTACTATGATCACAGTCATGACTTTGTCTAAAGTTGTATGTGAAGATGTTTATGAAGGTGGAACAGGGACAGATGTGGCCTTTTTTGAGGTGCATGGTCAACTGTCTGTCTATACACATGTCAGCTAATCAATCTTGCTTTTCATTACTATTATTTTAAAGGACCATAAGCAAAATTCGTAATTGAATTTATGGTCTGTGTAACGCAAATGTTGACCGCCTCTGTGGTCTAGTGGTCAGCGTTCCTGGCTACCGATCCAGAGGTCCGGGTTCGAATCCCGGCGCTACCAGATTGTTACAGAGAAGAAGCGGGTCTGGAATGGGGTCCACTCAGCCTGGTGATGATAACTGAGGAGCTATTTCATGGAAACAGCGGCTCCAGTCTAGAAAACCGAAATTAACGGCTGTGGGGATTCATTGCACTGACCACGCGACACCCTCTATCCGCAAAAGTTGACACTAAACTTCGCCAACAAGCGGCGGTCCCTCGGTCGGTATACGAGGTCGTAGGTCACGGAGTTTTTTTTTGTAACTCAAATGTTACAATGAAATTGACACTGCAAACTTTGTATTACATAACACCAGTATTGCTTCAATCTAGGAAGATTGCAGTCACCATAATGGTACTGCAAATTAAAGAAGTTAGGAAATGTATGCATATCACAGCAAAGGACAAGGCACCCCTGGACTTGAAAAGGTGTATTTCACGACTCAAAGTCTTACCCCCACAGATATTTATGGGAATATGCTTGGTAATAACCGACGAGGTTTCCGATAGGGACACGGGTTTTTCTGTTTGCTGCTTATCAAACTCAGTCTTGGGTCTCATCCAGCCTTCTATCTCACGTATACTGGAGGATCTTTCTGTTGGGAAAAGGTGATAAAAGTGTGAAACTCACCACTTACATCCATTTATACTGGAGCCACAAAAATATGTGCCATGGACCAACTACCTCCATTTCTCCCTTGAGTCATTTTGCCATTCTGTTCATATGAAAGTCGGCAGTGTTAATCACATGACATACTTTGCTAACCACAAGTGCCTTGAGATGATTTGTATAGGTCAGAGAGCCTGGAAGGGATACATGAAATAGCAGGAAGACAGGGGAAGCCTTGAGCACTTTCATCTCCACCATTTGGGGGCTTCTTTTCACAAAGTGATGTCAAGAAAGCCTGTAGTTTTACCTGTATATGTTAACATGGCATGGTACCAAGGTAAACAGCAGCTTTATTTTTAACCTTTTATGTGATGAAGATTTACTTATGATGATGTAAAAATTAAGGGGCTTACAAAAATGTCACACAAGCTACAAAATATGTCTGCATTAAAAATAAATGTATTTATTTTCATATTACATGCTTTAACTTGTTATCTAATGTAAACTAACAGTGCTATTATATTTCAATAGTTTCAACATACAGAGGTTCAAAAAAATACTGCATACTAATCTGCTTCATGCATGAACCTTACAAAATCTAATTATACAATTTCTGATAAGAGACACAAGAAAATATATTTATCACAGAAGCAGTATATATATTGTAGTCAAAATACATGAATCTCATATTAATATATATAAAGTGTGACGTGTTGCGCTATGGAGGACACCCCCTTCCTCCTCAGCGGTGACTTGGCATCGGAGCGCTGTCGTTACTATGGTAACAGGCAGGTTACCCCCCACCAGTGGTGACGTGCTGAACGGAGCCGAAGTGAACAGAGTCCAAGCACACTGGTCGCTATGCAAAGCAAGTAAACAGTGGTTGCTAGAGACGATGGTAATAAACAGCAGTACCCATTATGTAACAGGCAAACATGGCGACTAGGCAACAAGGAAGTGAGGCTGAGGGTTTATAAGAGAACTACACTGCCTACGAAGTCAGTTGGAATGTAGCAGCCGCCAAAGTGAGTTTTGTGATCAGGAGTGACACAATGCGGATCGTGAACATGGAAAGAAGAATACCGGAACGTGTGATAATCAGTGATAGTTTGTGACAACTGAGAAGTGATTGGGAGTGTGTAATACAGTGACACTTGTATAGCTCCCATGTTCGAAGACTATTGAACAGATCATTTTGTAGGGTTTATAATTTGTCAATACCTGTTGCTTTATTCTAATTAATTGTAGCCAAGACTTGTAGGTTGTTAAATAAACCAATTAACAATCCGAATGGCTTCTTCAGTGGCAAAACATGTTACAATATATAGAAAGAGCTAGTCTCAATCACTGGTCCAGTGATTGAGACTAGCTCTTTCTAACGCGCCCAACTGAGTAGGTCTATCCTTCCCTACCCACCTGAAGATGGAGACAGATCCAGTCTCCAAAACGTCGTGATCTTTTGTCTTTTACATACCAGACGATGGATGAAGTCCAAAATAAGCCAAAAGAAGTATAATGAACAAGCTGTAAATTATGTCATACAAGACATGCACAACTGTTCTAAGAGTTGTACAAATAAAAGTCAGGCATAATAAGCTACCATAGGTTACCTTTACTCAAGCAGAATGACTTCATCATGCTCAACACCAGATCCCAGTTTGTGTATGATGCAACAACAAAGTGTCACATCATTTAACTGTACGGAATGCATCTGGCATATTTAATGTGAGCTTCCTTATCTCATCGTAGTGTTCTGCTTTTATCCTCTGAGAAAGACACTGTAACATCCAGTCAGTGGCTTTCAGCACATCAGGATAGTAGCTGCAAACAATGGACATTCTCAAATAGAAAGCTCTGTACACGATCCAGCAAACAGTGCTGAAGTCAACTGTTGATACTGAAACAAATAACACATCCAGATTTTTTAGACAGCATATAAAACAGAGCCTACAGTGAGTCAAGAAACAAAAAATAACTTATGTGTAGTTCATCAAAAGTGGGGGAAAAAAAGAAAAACGATGATAAAAATCATAATCTGTTTGAACATATTATGATTAAGTTTGACAATATAATTTCTTTCTAATGTTATATTTTAGCATCCTGTTGCACTGATTCACGTTCATGATGTGTATTTGTACCAACCGTCTTACAGTGCACACAATTTCGCTTTTCTCTTCACTACATGTTTTGGCACTAATGTGCCATCTTCAGGCATTGTATACAACTCACAGTGTCACAAGGGAAGGGCACAACACAGAACACACAGATATACACAAGAATATAGGAAGAGTACTCCCACAGGAGAGGACTGACATAACTCGCGAATTTGAAGTGCGACGTATAGAGGATAAATCTTGAAAAGTTTTAATATATAAACTTTATTATTATACATGAAATATATATATTTTAATCATTTTATAAAGGAGACATGATGGCATACAGTGCAATGGTTTGATGTAAATAATACCACACCTGAAGATGGCACATTAGTGCGGAAACATGTAGTGAAGAGAAAAGTGAAATTGTGTGCACTGTAGGAAGGTTGGTACAAATACACATCATGAACATAATTTCTTTTTAAATTAACAGCACACACTCGTAGGGCTTTTTAAAATTCCAGTTCCAATGCAAATTCACTACATTAAGTCAATCTACTCTACAGACCAGGGTACATCATACCTTGTGTGGAAAACTTTATGGAAGAAAAATCCTACATAAATGTGTGTATGAATTTCCCACCAGTAAATGAATGCCAGAAGCAAGCAGCTACTTCTGTTTCTTCTAGTAAATTGCATCTAATGTTAAGTTATTTGGCACTGTTAATCTTCAGTTAACAACTGTAACATTACAAGATATTGTCGCGTATCGGGCGTATATCGCGACAAATAACTTCACGCCGTATTTTATATAGCGAATTTTATTTCACATTCACACTTACAATCACCCAAATTACAGATTTACGATTACTGCTATCTGCAGTATCACAATTAGTACACTCCAAACGCCACAATACAACTGACTTGTTGCTGGCTAACTCGGCGGTAGCTCCAGGACTCACTCGGCGGTAGCTCCAGGACTAACTGACTGACTCAGTACAACTCGCTGTGAATAGCCTTCGCTGCTCCCTATGTAGCCTTGATCGGACAATACGGCCACATAATAGGCACCCTTGTTGCCTGGCTCTGTGTTGCTAGTAACGCTAGCGGAAGTAACCGCTGTTACTACTTGGTGATGTCACCGCTGTTGACTTGCGTTGCCTAGCGACCAGGATCCTAGGACTCGGCTAACATCGGCTCGCTTCGGCTTCGCTCGGCGCATCACGGCTGGCGGGGGGTGGGGGAGGGCTCATAGCTCAGCATGTCACAATATTTTTCCTTTATTATTTGGGACTTCTGTGTCATGAGTTTTAAATTTCATCATAAATAAGCCCCACCAGAAAAATATATCACAGGTAACCACTGCCCTCGAGTCAATTTAGAGGGGTTAAAATAGTGGCAACATAGTAGCAATAAGGAAGGTATCTCTTTGTAATAATGTGATAAATATTCTTGTTCTCTGAAGCCTGCAAATTGGTTTAAGAAGATATTTAAAACATAGAAAATGGAAGGGCTTATTTATTTATGTTTTATTTAATGACACTAACAATAGCTCAGACTGCACAGCAATGAATAGTAGGCTGATGAGTAAATAGTGGATTTCAAAAGATGTTGAAGGAAGTTGTTACTGCTAAATTTGAACTACTATCTCAGCATTTACCTGGAGGGGCTGCACAAGACTGAAGTCACAACAAGATGGTATTTCAGAGCAAAGTCTGCACCTTCACTTAAGGTTAAGACAGGTTTTTCTGTTTGTAAACTTTCTTGGAAAGTTACCTCTGCAGTAATTATTGGTAATCCTCAATACATGGTCCCCAATTTTTCCAGCAGATTCATATACTATCTGGATCAGAAACCGCTGGTTCAGATTCTTTCTGTTGAAGGTATTTTTAACAATACTGTGGAATCTGAAGGCCTGCAGAAGAGCTGCATGAAATATGTTTGAGAGAACTATTTCTCTTGAGTTGTACAGCTCATCAAGAGTAAGTGCATTCAGTTTCAATGATGACACTAACCTCATCCGCTTCTGAAGGAATCTGTAAGGGACACAAAAGTCTATTAGTAAAAGATGTGTATTCATCATCACCTCTGCTGCCAAACAGTGTAGATGCTACAATGAGCTAAAGATGTATCTCTGTGAACACATCTGTGAAATAAGAAAGAAAAGATACAACAAAAAGGATCACTAAAACAGACTGATTTTTTAAACAAAGTAGGATTGTAATGAGGAAGAGGAGAATTAGCAACTGGAATAATGCGATCAGCAAAATGAAACAAAACAAAAATACTTGTTATTAACAGCATAACTGTAGTGATAAGTCCATGATAAATAATGGTGTTATGAATGACAACACCTCTCATTTTTGTGCAACAGTGATTGAACCTGAGGAAAAAAATTTACCTAGTCATAACCAAGGACACTGGAGTCCCTTAAAAACCTATTTCTTTTTTACTATGCTTAGTAAAATTGGTGGGGCATGTGGTAGCGTAGTTGGTTGGGGCACTATGCTACAAGCTGGAAGGTTGCGGGTTCAAGTCCCGATGAGGTCATTGGATTTTTTTCAATTGACCTAATCCTTGCAGCCACACTATGGCCCTGGGGTTGACTCAGCGTCTTACAGAAATGAGTACCAGGAATTAATTAAATCATTTTCCTGGGGAGTAAATCACGGCCAGCACATAAGGCTGACAACTTTACCGCCATCTTTGAGCCGATGGTCTAGATAATGTGGGACCCTCAACGTCTCACAACCCTATGGGCCTTCACAGTCTGTTACAGGGATAACTTTACTTTTACTTAGTAAAACTGGTTACTAATAAGTATGCATAAATCCAAAAAATGGTGAACTGCAATAAAACACCTTGACCGTGTACTCAGTTATAACTGGTATCTAACATGAAAAGTGACACACATCTTGAAATAAATTGTGAATGTAAATTTACTACTTAAATTATGGTCACTGAAGCAGTAAGTGTATTAAAAATATGTACATAACCCCATACAAATACGATAAAAAAAGAATCATCAGAATCAGTGGCGCCAACAAGTCTACGTATCAGTGAAATGTTGCTGTAGAACAGCTTGAGCATTGGCATTAAAAACATTATTGCTCATTATAGGAAATAGGTAAAAGCAATTACAGCATGTTTAAAAATTTTTTTAATGTACTGTATACAAAATCTTATACCTCATGTGACATGCTAACAGTTGTCTTGATGCAATGGAGTGTGTGATATCTTAATATGTCTCACTATCACTAGAATCATATTATCAACACAAAGTTTTATATTTAATATGACAAACAAATGAGTCTACTTAGATCTTCAACATAGCACTTCTGATTAACTGAAGCAGTTCAAAAGAAGCACTTAATATTTATATTTTATTGCCAGTTCTTAACATAAAATGCAACCAACATCTTTAAGTAAGAATATTCTCCCCTTGTATGATACTAGTATTATTTCAAAAATGCATTTAAGAGCTGACTGTTCTTTGCAAATCTCTCTGAAAAGTACTTCCATACAAGTAAACTGAGTGTCCTGAAATCTGACTTCATACATCAGATCTTGAAATGTAAACACTACAAGAAAATTTGTTTGAATGAAGGATGCAGTTAAATGGGTAAATGAATAGCAAATTAATTGCTCTAGGAGCATCAGAATTGAAGATGTTGAGATACACTGGGAGATCAAGGACTAAATGAAGAACCTAAGTGACAGAAGACAGGAGAAGGCTTTGTCAGCAAATGACCTGCCCTAGTGGAAACTTCAGTGGATCATGGTAACATAAAGTCTGAAATTTCCATAATAAGATGCAATGAAAATGAAAATCATTGTCTTGTGAGATATCATGACAGTCTTAAGTTTGTAGAATAAGTACTGAAGTTTCAAAGGAAAATGCTGTCTTTTGTCTTCAAGGAAGATGTATTGAAGTCGTTTGAAAACATCAATCACAGAGAAACGTTTTGACACATCTGTCTGACAAGACTTTGATACACTGTTTCCGTATACTCACTTTCCAGGTTGTTTCACTTCTGTCAAACGCATTGAGTGAGCAATATCTTGATTCTTGTAGCGGGCATAATCCTGTGTGATATGCAACAGTTCTGTATCCATGACATATCCACAATATGTCACTTCTGTACAGAATGGCTGACATTCACGAGGCACGTTGGTAAGTGTCTTTGTGTTCACATAACAGCCATATTCAGGGAAACCTTTTTCCATCTTTTCCAGGAAACTGTGGACAATAAAGGGGCTTGCAATTAGACATTTAAGGACATTATGGTTGCATGTGTTGCTTCCATCTTCAAGATAGAAGAGACCATTTGGCATCACATTCTGTCTTGAAGACAGAGGCTACACATTCCTCCAAAATGTCAGTGAACATTAATCACACTACATGGAATCATACCCCAGAAATGAGCAATGTGTAAAATCTGCCTAAAAAAATACAAAAATCACAGATCCAAAGAGAATATAAACACACAGTATTTTTTTCCAGATTCAGCTTAGTAAAGTGTATGTGTAAGTGTAAAATTCAACTTATGGCGATAAAGGTAAAAGCTAAGATAAGATGGTCAAGCTTCAATACCCAGTAAAATGGTAGAATTATACTTTGTACTGCTGTGTTCAGAAGAGTTCCAGGGACCACCCTGTTTCCTTTTCTATGGGTATCCAAAGCTCTTTACATAATAGTAAAGGTGGCAGGTGTGTGAAGCCGATCATTCATCTACACCCAGTACAAAGATAAAGAATGTGCTTTCCCTCTAGAAACTTTATACACATTCATAACACAATGTTCAGGTACAGGAAAATTCTACTTTTGCACACACAAAACTGTGCAATGTTCCATACATACTAACACAACTCTGGGAAGAAATACATAATTCTTTATGCAAATATTAGATTTTATCAAATGGTCACAGTAGCCAGTCAATGTGGCTGAATGGTCTAAGGCATGTACTGTCTTTGCTTGCTTGAAAGCCATGACTGTGGGTTTGAATGCACACAAGGCATGGATGTTTGGTGTGTGTATGCGTTTATTTTGTGTTTGTGTTGTCCTGTGTTTAGGTAGAGGCCTTGTGACAAGCTGATCACCCATCCAAGGAGTCCTACTGTCTGTAAAATGGTCATGAAACTGAGAAATCAGCCCTATGCTCCAAAGTGGGAACAAGAGTAGAGACAAAAAATTAATGAGCTAAGTTCTTAATATAATATAGTAAAAATGTGAAGGTCTTTCAAAATTTAATCAATTCATCCACAGAAAAAACTCTCGTTTACAGTGAGCTGGAATTATGTAGCTTATAAACAGTTCCTATAAACATGTCCCTTGAAACAATGTCATCTGAGAATGAACATGATGCAGACATTGCTATCCACAATAACCTTTGAGATCTGAAATACAAATTAGCCAATGTTTATGAGTAGAAAGAACTCACTAATACTCGTTTTATCATAACAGCCTTCCCTGTAAATAAGTGGCTGTATATTTCAGTGCATGTTTCAAGTCATCATGAAATATATGTAACCTCACTTTTTGAGTTATCAGGAGATGGGAACAGAAACATGTTGACTGTAATCTGAAGTATTAAAGACAACAACTAAAAATTTTCTCACCAAAGCCTGAAACAGATAGCAGCATGCAGTACATCTAAATCAAGGTTGAAGACAGAAGAGATGAAAACTATTTTGTACTTGTCCATCATCACAATTTATTAGAACCACTACTTTGTGGAAACTGGCTCTATTTCCGTCTTCAGGTGAGTAGTATATGAAAGAAAGCTGGCTCTTTTGAGCTCCTCTCAAACTTTGGGCTGCAAGAGTAGAGGTAGTGAAGGGCCCAAAAGAGCAGGCTTTCTTTCATATCCTGTCCACTTGAAGACAGAAGCAGAACCAATTTCTGAAATACGGAGATCTTAATAAACCCAGAAAGTAGACAGAGTCCAAAACAGGTTTTAAAAAACGTGTCCTTATTGTTAAAGAACCTTCAGATTTAATTTGGAAGATAGCATATTCAGCATATTTTGGTAACAGCTTCACTTTGCTGTTGCTATGTCACACAATCTGCAGTGTCACTTCAAAGTTTCCCAGAGAATGTCTCAGCCAAGTTCATGTCATGACAGCTGACATGGGAGTAGAAAGAAAACTACTTATCTGTGACTTATGACAAGCTCTGATTACAGACTATGAGGAAAACTCTTAGAAAATCATAGGAAGTGATGAAAAATGGGGCTACTGTTATGAACCAAAAACTAAGTTGTATTCATGATGGAAATTCCTTTTCTCCTTGCAGTCATAAAAAACATTCCAAGTACACAGAAAATCAATGTGATGCTGATTGTTTTCCTCAATTACAAGTCTGTTTTACAATTTCAGACTATTAATCAATATTCATAGTTATAAGTGTTGATATGTGTCTAACATCGAGTGAACTGCAAACAACTGCAAAAGTGGGGATCTGGTGAGTAGCAAATTAACTAACCATGATGACACACCTACCTACTTAGCCCAGTCTGTGCAGCTAGTTTAGCTAAACACAGCATTATATCTCTGTGCACCAGATATGACTCCATGTGATAATTTTTGTTCCCTAGACTTAAAAAGGCAAAAGCAAAACATCCGATGATGAGGAAACATGTTACCATATGCCAGTAGAGTAGCTGCTACAATCCCAGAAACTGAAAGCGAGAGGCGCTGAACAGTGGAACAAGTACAAGTATGAGGGTTGGAACTTTAATAGTGGCTACACTGCTGCAGAGACGCCATGCAACGGAACCAAATAATGTCACTTATACCACACGTTACATACATACCTTACCTCAGAAAATGGACTCTCCCTTCCCACATCATGTGCATGAGCAGTGACGAGAAGAACAGAGCCTCGTGTTAGCTGGCGGTCTAATGTAGTGTTGTCATGATGTTTTCAAAACAGGAACAAAGGAGCTGGATAAAGATTGAATGTGCCAGAGGCCGTACAGCACGACAGTGTCATCAAGATCTTCAAGAGGCTTACGGGGAATCTGCATTGCCTTACAGAACAGTGGTAAGGTGGGTAAAAGCCTTCAATGAGGGACGTCAAAATGAGGCAGACATGCGTCGGCCAGGTCATCCTAGTGTCAGAAGTGTATGCTCTTTCCATGTTACTGGAGAGTGACTGACGCCATATGATTCGTGAGATGGCCTGAGAGACAGGATTAGACAGGATTAGTGCATACGACTGTGCTTCATATTCTGAAGGAATGCCTGGGCATGAGAAAAACTGCATCACGATGGGTTCCGCATGATTTGATGGAAATGAAGAAATGGCTATGATACGACACTGCTCGTAACCACTTGGAGCACTATGAGCGTGAAGGAGAGCCTTTCTTACACCATATCATTACGCTTGATGAGACATGGGCAAAATCGTACAAGCCACAAATGAAACGCCAATCGAACAAATGGCATCATTATGGGTCACCACGAAAATCAAAAGTTTGTCAGAACCCCTGCAATGTGAAAGTTATGGTGATTCTCATGTACGACTGTGATGGTGTTATCCTAACGCACACTGTTCCCCGACGGCAGACCGTCAATTTGCAGTATTACTGTTCATTTTTGGAACAAAACCTGCGACTAGCTTTGAGAAAGAAGCGGTGACACTTTTTGCAGAACCCACCCATCATTTTGCAGGATAATGCTCGGCCGCATGCAGCGCAAGCTGTGGCTGATTTGTTCGATCGATGGGGCTGGGAGGTGCTGTACCATCCACCATACTCCCCAGACTTAAGCTCTTGTGACTTTGACTTGATTCCTAAGATGAAGGAACCACTTTGTGGCATCTGCTTCAGAACTGTTCCAGAGATTCTTCAGGCAGTAGGCTGCTCCATTTGAACTATCAACAAAACAGGCGCTGCTAAAGGTATCCTACAACTTCCACATCACTAGCAACGGGTTGTACACAATGCCGGTGACTACACTGAAGGACAGTAAAACTTCGAAACATGTATCTATTTTGTATCAGTTGTAAATAAATAGTTGCCACTATTAAAGTTCCAACCCTCAAAGATTCTAAAGGGTTCTGATCACGGTGTATAACACTCAGGATTACTGGGTTTTTGGATGTTGTCCATTGTCTGATATTTTAAAGAAGACAACGTTTCAGAAACTGGTTCTGTTTCCATCCTCAGGTAGGGGGGGTGGGAGACACCTACTATACTGGGTTCGATAGAAAGTCAATGGACCAGCAAGACAAAGTCCAAAAACCAAATAATCCTGAGCAGGAAAAGTACACACATGGTGATGAATACTGCTTGAATGGGATTAACCATCCATCCCTGTAGGTACAAGGCCTCATTTTTCACAGATTCAGCCTCAATACTTTTTTGTTTGACCTCATACAACCATTTCATATGGTCCTTTTGAGATAATACTCGTATTCAAGCACATCACATAGAAATTCATTTTAATGTCTCTAGATAGCAAAAGGGTCTTAATACAGTGGAAATTCAATTTAATGTTCCCCCCCCCCCATTTAACATCCAAGTTCAAGGATCCAAAATCGATAACCTCAGCATTAAATTTCCTCCATTTATGATTTTCCTCATTTTAGTAGATACACCCAGTGATCCCAAAAGAAACCTTAACTGGTGTTTAACTGTACTTGAAGGCAACATGTACAAATGGTGGGGGAGGCCTGGCACTTGGCCTGTGGAAAAAATCAGAACATTTGGGCTATGATAACAAAATGCAAAAGGTTAAAAACAATTTAATATGTGACATACCAGACGGCTCTGTCTAGGTTTGTAGTAACATACAGATAATCATCTACAGCTCGAATAAGCAAATCATTGTCATTCTGGAACTCCCTAAGCTGAGTTCTGTCCACATCAGAGTAGTACAGATCACAGAGAACTGATGATAGGCGGGCTCCTTGTGGCTGTCCGCATGTCATGAGAAACTGCCGATTTCCTCGGTGAACTATATAACTCTGCAGCATCTCACACAAGAATGACAACAGATCTCTGCCTACTATTTGGCACTGAAATTAAACAGGAACATGTTATGACAGTACAATGATAACATATGAAAATTCCATTCACAAAGAAAATAAGAGCAGGTTATGTACTGCGATTACCTGCTGCCATTCAGTTCAGAGTATTCTCTCTAAAAACAGAAATACTGAAGTATGATAAACTAAAATTTACTTAATGTTAATAATAATACAGTCAGCCTAAAGGACAGCAGGAGGAGGATGAGAAAAATACACCATGAGAAATTTTGTAATCATACCCTTCGGCAAATACAACTATGGTGTACAAATCAAGAGGGATGCGATAAGCAGGTGATTACAAAATTTCAGTCAGAAATGTTGAAAGGAGGAGACCGTTTAGGAGACATAGGCATAGATGGGAGATAATATTAAAATGGATCTTAAAGAACTAGTGCATGAGGGTATGGTACGGATTAAAGTACCTCAGTATGGGATTCAATGCCAGCATCCTTTAAACATAGTAATGAATCTTCAGGTTCCATTTGCCCACATGAGTGATTATCAGCTTATCTACAGAATCATATCCCAATGTAAGTAAAGTAAAGCTGTCCCTGTAACAGGCTGTGAAGGCCTATAGGCTTATGAGATGTTGAGGGTCCTACATTATCTAGACAATTGGGTCAAAGATGGCGGTAAGGTTGTCAGCCTTACGTGCCTGCTGCATTTTACTTCCAAGGAAAATTATTTAATTAATTCCTGGTACTCATTTCTGTTAGAGGCTGAGTCGACCCCAGAGCCATAGTGAGGCTGGAAGGATTAGGTCAACTGAAAAAAATCCAACGACCTCATCAGGACTTGAACCCGCGACCTTCCGGCTTGTAGCATAGTGCCTCAACCAACAACATTACTGTGTGCCCTGATCCCAATGTTAAAGCTGTTAATAATGTTATATATTACAGAGCCAGGTTCATTTTGGTGAAATTCGCATGTGCAGTATGCAGTGCACAATGCAAGCAGTAAACAACATGGCAATCAGTGTAGGGAAGCAAGTGTTCCTGGTGGGACAGTACCTCACAACAGAATCACTTAAAACATCCTAGAGCGATTCAGCCACCAATCTGAATGTCCAGCACCAACAAATCTGTGATATGGAGTGTGTTGAGCAGTTTAGACAGGATGTGTGAACATAGTGAAATGTACATATGTAATCTTTACCGTCAATGCAACAATACTTTACTATTTATTTATTTATATAGAATGCACTACATGCCTCAACCTCAAAGGGTCATCTTCAGGTGCTGCAAATAATAAAGTATTGTTGCGTTGACAGTAAAAATTATGTATGTTCATTGTATATATGCAACAGGATGCAATCCTTAAAAATAAAAATATTGAAATGTGTTCACCAGAGACCTGTACAGTATAAGTTAGTAACAAATTACGACATAAGGATGACAAATCCTGAACAGTTTTAATATTTTTAATATTTAAAATTTATCAATATATATGACAAATATATATTTTAGTATAAAGACAACAGGGCATGCAATGAAGTAGTTTGACGTACATCGAAAAGCACCTGAA